GAATGAAAAGGTTGCTCATCATTGCTTTAACACAAAGATCCCCTGAAAAATGCAAACCCTCTGTTAGCGTTTTATCTTCGCTTCTAACCAACACCTGAGAAGCGATTAGCCAGCACACACACACACCCTCCCCCCAGAGTTTGAGTGCATTCCAAGGATACTAGGGTTCCTGCAGTTGTCAACAGCTTCCTTGAGTGTGGAGCTGAGGCAGGCAGATTCCTCCCTGATGGGAGGGGCTGCTGGCATGGAGAAGGCAATGAAGCCAAGCTGCAGCTGCACTGCCCAGTCAGGGACACTGTCTAGGGAAAGAGCGAGCCAGGACAAAATGGAGAACCATCCAGGAGAAAAGCTCTCTTTTCTATCAGGGAAAAGACATTTCTGAAGAGCTTTGTTCCAAGCACTTTCCGTTTCCCCCATTGACTCCCAGTAAGCAGAGGGAGGGAGAAGCATAAGCCACTAAGTGCATGCAGACAAACAAGGAAACTAGCTCAGCAACTAGGTCAGGTGAAAGGCCTGATTAGGGAAACACACCTGTCCTAATGTGAGCTTAGGGATAATAAAATCCTCCCTTGACAAAAAAGCAGAAACTTGATTTCTGAACACAAACCACACAGACCCTGAAAACAGAAACAGAGAAGGGACAGATTCATCCCCAAAAGGTGCAGGACCTGAGGAAAGCTGCTAGTCTGAGGTAGATTAGGAACAAAAGCTCCTATCTCCAGAAGCAGCTAGCAGAGGAACAGAGTCACAGCCTGAGGCATCTGAAGCTCCGCATCTGGGAGGAAAAAACAAGCAGGACTAGATAAAGATCTATCAGGGAAAGTCTCTCTGACGGAGCTGTAGGAAAGCTTTGCTTTAAGTGCTTTTGTTCCTTTTCACTGACTGGCTGGACCAATGAACAAGCCCTGAGAGAGTTTTAGTATCAGGGATGCCGGCCTCTATGCACGCTAACGGGGCAGGTGTGATTCTGATCTGGGGCCAGTATCAGATGAAAGAAAAACACCAGCTCAGGGAGAATAGAAATCTTTTGACTCAAGAAACTCCCGTACTAAAGAAAAAAGCTCCTTTGAAAGCAAGCCTGGTAAAAGGGAACCACAAGTTGACTCCCAGACCCAAAAAGAATTATGGGAAATGGAGTCCAAAAGGTAGCTCATAACAGCAGGCTGATACAGAGAAATGCATTCTGGGAAAGGTAGTTTTTCCACTAAAGATGGCGGTATTGCCCAGAAAAACTGTTTTTTTGTTTTGTTTTGTTTTGTTTTGTTTTTTGCTTGAAAAAAAGCTCATGGTAAACTTAAAATACAGTTTTTAAAAATTAAGAAGGAGGAAAATTGTCTGAGTTTGTTGAGTGTCAGCCCCAATGAAAAACTGTAAGGATACAGAACTCAGAGCTGTGCTACTTCTAGCTTTACAGGCTCCTTTGAGAAAATGCCCAATACTGCCTAATAACTGCACAGAGTGTTTTTTATGATAGCTGGATGACAAAGAGCTACATATAAGAGCAATGAAGTCACGGAAAAATACATTAAGCTTTCAAGACAGTCTAGCAGGGGAACCCGCTAAATGATGTAGGTCTGGAACCCTACTCCAACATAGACAATTATCTTCTCCTGATGGGAAATTGACTGTTATGAAATGACTAGCTGAGCAATTCAGAAACAGAACATTCCTTACAAGGGTTTCTTCTCATTCTATTTTGGGGTTTGAAATGAAGTTCAAAGAATATTACTCTCTGTCTTGTTGGAAGATAATGTAACATCTCTTCTCAATGTTAAGAAATCTTTTTTAAAAATCTTATCTAGGTGTTAAGAAATCTTTAGGTGTTTGCTAAGTTCAATATTTGCTAATGGTAGCCCTATAGAGAGTTTGCTTAATATAAGTTTGTAAAATAGATCTATAGAATTTCTTTAAGACATGTAGTAATAAGCTTATAAGAAGTATGATAGTTGTAAATGTAAGTTTAAATAAGAAGTGTATAAGATATTTGCTAAGGTAGTTCTATAGAGTTTCTTTAAGTTTTAGGAATAAAGAGGCTTAAGTAAGACTTAGGTATAATAAGGTGGGATATAAGCTTTAGGTCTTAGGACATGGTAAAGGTTTAACATAGAGATTATATGGTGAAGGAACCTGGGGGCGTCCATAGGCGACTGTAAGCTGGCAGTCTGAGAGGTTTCAGAAACTCACAAAGCCACTAAGAATGGCTGACACCAGAGCCAGCACAACAACCATGGCCAGGCATCCGCAGCTGAGACCCACAGAACATCAAGCCAGTGCAGAAAAACCTGAGTTAGCAGCAAAAATGTTGAAGTTTCTATTTGACGGCTAAAAGAAAATCTGTGTTGAGAGGACTTTGCACCAACCAGCTCTTGTGGAGCAAATAGTTTTCGCTCTAAGGGAAAAACTGCCATAAAATGCTACTGTAACTACAAAATATCTCTGGACTGAGAATGAAAGTTGCAGAGACGCTTTTTGAACTGAAATTGTTAACTGCAAAAGGTTTTTGGTTGTAAAACGTTTCTTCATATTTGGAAGTGGAAGTCTAGTGCCAGAATTCATTTGAACTTTTTGAACTTAAAAAGAGATAAAAATTACAAAAAGGTTTTGGTTATGGGTTTCTGCTGTGGGATGGTCTGTATGTCTGTATTGCTCTGATTGGTCAATAAATAAAACACTGATTGGCCAGTGGCCAGGCAGGAAGTAGGTGGGACAAGGAGAGAGGAGAATTCTGGGATGCGGAAGGCTGAGACAGAGAGACACTGCAGCCACCACCATGACCAGCAGCAGCATGTAAAGACGCCGGTAAGCCACCAGCCACATGGCAAGGTATAGATTTATAGAAATGGGTTAATTTAAGATATAAGAACAGTTACCAAGAAGCCTGCCACGGCCATACAGTTTGTAAGCAATATAAGTCTCTGTGTTTACTTGGTTGGGTCTGAGAACTGGGGGACTGGCGGGTGACAAAGACTTGTCCTGACTGTGAGCAAGGCAGGAAAACTCTAGCTACAGGTTTCTTCATATTTGGAAGGCTGGTACCAGAATTTGAATTTTAGGACTTAAGAAATGAATTAGACAGGAGTGATTTCATTGCAATGGGTCAATTTTGAATTTACTTATGTATATAGATTCTATCAACATTGGTGATTTATGGAACTGTTTATGTAAAAAATGGAACTGCTTAAAAATGGAACTGTCTAGAGAAGTTTAGAGGTTTTTTCTAAAAAATTATAAAGAAAAGGGGAGGTGTTAATATTCCTCAAGTCTATTTAATTTAAAAAATATTTTCATGTTACTTGAGTGAATTAATGTTATGTTTTGTATAGTTCTATTAAGAAACTGTTTTTGAATGCAGGTTTGTAGGTTGGATGTAGGTTTGTAGGAATTAACAGTAATGTTCATTTTAGAGTTACTATGTTAACCTATTGATACTGATGCACCATGGTGTGGTGAAGTTAAGGAAGTGTTTAAGTTTGATGTGAATGCATCAGAAGTTTATCCTATGTTTTGTTAGCAAGAAATTCAAATGCTTCTATTAAGAATTTGCTTTAAGTTGTAAGATTGAAAGAATTGTAACTATGTATAGCAATATTTATGTTAGAATTATGTTAACCTGTTAATGTAAATGATGAAGCAAAGGAGTTTTTAAGTTTGATGCAATTGCATCAAGAGTTTTTTGATTTAAAGGGCTTGATGCAGCTAAGACTGCTGTAGTCACCTTAGACCCATTCCAAAACAGAATGCCATCTTTATCATCTACTCCTATACTGGGAGGTGTGACAGCTATGGAGAGTGCTATTGGCTCTTAATGGGGAGCTGTTTTTTATATATTAAGAAGGGGGAACCTGCTGGAGCCCATTTTTAGGTTTCCTAGAAGCTTTACCCAGCAGGTCTGCATGAAGAGGATGACTGGACCACGGGCCTGAGCACAGGTGTCTGAAATGGTCTGCACTTGGAGGGAGGTCTTTTGCTCTGCCCTTTGGCATTCCTTTAAATACCCTAGGGCAGAGACAGTCGAGGCCCAATGGATTAGGATCCAGGCCCTCCTGAGTCTATCATGTATTTTCTATCGTTTTCTCTCCCCTCTGTCCTTCTAACTAATATTTCCTGCCGCTTCTACTCAAAAGAGTGTTCTGGGGGAATGTAGGGGTGAGGGATGGCCCCGCACACTTTACACGCTTTTTTTTTCTTTTTAAAAATACACCATTAAGTCCAATTTGTGCTCCTCATATACTCATGGTGTAGGGTCACACCCTTAAGAAAACTGACTTTTCAGAAGCCATCAACTGTCAATAATTATTTAGGAGGAGGAGCTCATGAGGACCTGTCCCTTCATAAGATGGGTTTTACTTGGCTTTTACTATGATGATATGTCATTTTTCTTTTCGGAAAGAGAAACAACTAAGTTCACTCTTGTATCTGCCTTCTTGGAAGTATGGAGCACCATGTGTTGTTCATATCGTGGCATATTTTCAGACAAATCCAAAACCATTATAAAGTCTTCCTGGGATTTTTCTTCTACAGCAGTGTAATTATTCCCTTGGGGAAATATAAATTTTATGATAGCTATATCAAATCACAGAACACACTTCTAGCAAGTTAGCTACTAAAGGGGAATCCATATGATATGCTGAAGACAGGTTAAAGAAACCATTCATTACTAACTTGTGCTAACAAATCAATGAATTCACTCAAGTTCCTTCAAAAGTATACTTTATATCACTAATTAAATAGTATCTTTGGCCTAAAGCCCAAGAATCTTACATCATATTAGCACTTGCTTAATAAAATGTTGTAATTTTTCAACTGTTTTTGGAATACCTTCTTAAATAATTCAGAAGACTAAAAGTAAAAAAATAAAATAAAATAAGAAAAATTTAATATAACTTTCCACTTTATATTACAGAAGATAAAGAATGATAACATAATAAAGGAAATGGAGGCATAAATACATAAACTTCTTTAAGTTTCACTCAAACAATGAGGCAAATAGTCAAAGTTACCTGTGTCACTGGTAGGCTCAGATGTGAGTGGTTTTGGAGCTGAAATATTTTTGGGTCTGGCAGCAACCTGAGACGGGGATGAAGGTGTGTTTTCTCCATTAACTACATGTGAACAGCATGAGTTGGGAACAACAGTACTGGTTGGTACATGATTATCTATTCCAATAGTACCTTCAACAGCCAACCTTTAAAAAGAAAACAAAATTCTAACTTCAATGCGTCAAGTACAATAAAACAACCTGTCAGCAGAGTTTACATAAAAAATTTTTACTGACTTTCTAACATTAATTAGGAGTACTAGACAGAGGAGAGAAAAGGATAGCGCCTGCTGTTAACACACTCAACTACACTACCTTCAGTTGTAAGTGTCCATGCTGGCAGACACACCAAGTATGCTGAGTGGATCTAGGCCTTCAAACTGTTCAAATTGTGTATTTTAAATAAGAATATTAGGCTACTTTAAATGCTCTGAGAGCAATTTCAAAGGCTCATGAAATGATATGAAATGTCCAAAAACTAATCCTAACCTTGGAATTGTACTTAGCAGTAAAGACAAGTAAGGTATGAACAAAACTTCCAGATAATTCTGATGTCTGTATCACTCCTCAGCCATCCAGTATCAGTGGATTCTAAGAGACAGAAGTCCTTGGGGGTTCCCCTTATACCACAGGACTCATTTTTAAAAACAAGATGTGCTATCATAAAATAAAACAACAGTTTTGGTGCTTTTGTCTTAAGACAGGTCTTCCTAGAAGGGCCAGGATAGCTTAAAACTTGGTGTGTAACTCTGGCTAGCCCTGCCTGAACTTACAGCAATTCCCTCTGCCTCTCAAGTGCTGGCATTACAGGCATGAGCAACTAAGTACAACGCTAGTAAAATAAACTCCTTTAAAATCTAAAACTGTATTTTAAAGAATTTAAATACACGTCACACATTAATGCATTTTAATCCACAAACTTACACTGTTTCATTCATTAATTTTTCTCAGTGCAAATTATAATCTGGAGACTGATTATTTGAGGCACAAATACACAATTTGAAAGCATAGTTTCAAAAGCTTTTTTTTCTTAAAAAAAAAAAAAAACAGTAGTGGTTGGACTGGAGAGATGGCTCAACTGCTAAAGGCTACGCTCTCCCCTCCCCCCAAAAAAAAGCAGTACTGAGAATGAAACCCAAGACTCTGAATATGGTAAGCAAATGCTCTACAAAGGAATGATACTCCTGGCCTTTTTCACAGCTTCTGTTTTTTTTTTTTTTTTTTTTTGGTTTTTCGAGACAGGGTTTCTCTTGTGTAGCTTTGCGCCTTTCCTGGAACTCACTTGGTAGCCCAGGTTGGCCTCGAACTCACAGAGATCCGCCTGGCTCTGCCTCCCGAGTGCTGGGATTAAAGGCGTGCGCCACCACCGCCCGGCTTCACAGCTTCTGTTTTGAGATACGATCCCACTGAGTTATCCAGGCTGCCTCAAACTTGCTATCCTCTTGTTTCAACCTCCCAAGTATCTCAAACTGCGGGAGTGTGCCACATATCTACCTTGTTCAAGTGCTCTGATGAGAAGCATGCGACAGCAATTAAGAATAATGTTATCAGTAACTGAGCAGTATGGAAAAGGTTATACTTTGCCCTTTATTGGCATATTTTCCCAGATATACCAAGTCAATTACATAAGAAGATATTTTTATATTTTTGGATTTTAACTCCACCATATTTGAATTATTACATACTCTCATTCCATCTACATGTTTCAAATCATCTTTTAATCATCACAAAATGTGAATGGCAGGTTTTGAAATGGCAGGATGAATTCTGTGGCCATAATCTGTCAGTCATTTATCTTGTGAGCTACAGGAAAATGCCAAATCAATAAGGTCTCCTTCCCACACTACTCACTCTATTAGCCAACAAATTGTAAATACTGATTGTGAAAAGACATTTTCAATAAGAAAGGAAGAACAACCACACTCCACAGCATAAGTGAATAGTTGAAACATTATGCTATCTATGTAAGAGAAGTATTTGTTTACAGAAAATGGCCAGAACAGTGATTTTCTTATGTTTTAGATCTTAATAAGCTATTACTTTAAAGTTTCTTTCCTGGATACTCGGCAAACAGCATCTTTATATTTAAGCTTTTAAGTTTATATCTGTATTTATTAATATATTTTTGGTAGTTTTTGATATAGTGTCTTTTAATGTATCCCTGGTTAGGCTTTTAAATTTTATGATAAATACTAAATTGAGGTTAAAAATTAAAACTTCTGCCAGGCAGGGTGGTGCATATCTTTAGTATCAGCATTCAGGAGGCACAGCCAGGCAGATATCTCAGTTTGAGGTTCAAGGCCAGCCTGGGCTATAGAGTGAGTTCTAGGACTGCTAGGGTTGTTACACAGGGAAACCTTGTCTCTAAACGCACCCCCCCCCCAAAAAAAAATTAAACTTCTAAATAGGGTGTGGTATGTACCTTTAACCCCAGAACCTGAGTGGCCGAAGCAGGGGGATCAGAAGTTAGAGGTTATCCTCAACATCACAGGAAGTTTGAAGTCAACCTGGGCTACATAAGATCTTGAACACCCCACCTCCACCGCATAATATAATCGTAACAATAAAGAAACTGAAGCAGGAACGTCATGAATTTGGAGCTAACAGAAAATAAACTAAATTGAAAACACAAACTTCATGCCTGGGAAATATTATAACATGTTGCCACAAATAATAAAGTAAAGAACTCTACCTGGTAGTGGCCCGTGTTGAAGAGTCTCCATCTTCGTGTAAGGCATCACCATTCTGCTGTATTTCTGCTAAACATCAGGAAGGAAAACAACTCAGTTTCTACGTATCTGTCAATTTTCTTTACTAATTTAAAAACATAAGCACAGCTTACTGGTTGGAGAAGAGTTGTGGTTTGTTAGATTTTCTTGCTCAATCACTAATCCATCAAGCACAACTGTCAATTCACCAGTTTGCACTATGCCATTCTTGTTTTCCAAGGAAAGTTTTAATAGTTCTTTCACTTTTTCTACTAGAAAAAAGAAAATTCTAATTTAAAAACATTTGCCACATACAAAAACATGTTTTAGAGATAATTTGAATCAAGAACTCCTCTATTTCAGAACTTGACTGGTGCATTTGGAAGTAATTCTTTGCATGTATATCTGTGGACCTTGCATTAAACTATAATAGGAATAATTCCATTCTGGACAGTTTAGTGACTCTGTCCCAAGTGCCACACTTTTGTCATCATCTTTAATTGCTTCCGTGCACAGTATAACCTTCAGAGGATATGCTAATACTATCTAGATAATAAATACAACAGCTGTGCAACCTTGTTTCTCAGCAGGAGCCCAAAGACCCGTGGATGAAGCACAATTTCATCCTGAAAGTCAAGAGTCTTAGTTAACAATTCCACCTCTGCCACTTACTAGCTATACAGAGCTAAGTTATTCAAGCTTTAGTTAGCATCAGTTTCCTCACTCTTCATTACAAAATGGAACAATAAGAACATCAAAAATGTTCATGCCTTTAATCCCAGCACTCAGGAGACAGAGGCATGAGATCAAGGCCAGTCTGGTCTACAAAGTGAATTCCAGGACAGCCAGAAGTACACAGGGTTTTGAAACCCTGTCTCGAAAACAAAACAAACAAAACACCTCAAAAAGGAACTTCAAACCCAGTGGAGAATCATCAAGACCTAATTCAAAACAGCACAGGAAGTTGTAGCACCACACCTGACACAGTTGGTAATGAATAAGTAGAACATGCTGTGATGACAGCTTGATGTTTCTTATGCAAGGCCAAATACTTCCCTCCCATTAAATCTATTCTGATTTAAATGCAAAGCCACTTTGACTCATCTTCCATACCACAGAATATACATTAAATTTACTTAGAAATGAGAAGAACTTGTGAAGACAACAATGAAAGAGTGCAAGGGTTCAAACATACAAAAGAAATATGGGGTTTTCATGCCTGAAATATATTATGGGCCAGGCGGCAGCGGCGCACACCTTTAATCCCAGCACTCAGGAGGCAGAGCCAGGTGGATCTCTGTGAGTTCGAGGCCAGCCTGGTCTACAGAGTGAGTTCCAGGACAGACACCAAAACTACACAGAGAAACCCTGTCTTGAAAAAAAAAAAAAAAAAAAAAAAGAAGAAGAAAAAGAAATACATTATGGTATGGTGAATCAGTAAGTAATTATGTACTTACTGAAAATTTAAACATGCATTACAAAAACGGTGCTTGAACAGATATATTAATTAGCTTGAATTGATTACTCAGTTTTATAGGTAAACCATAAAATGACTTTTTACTTCACAAATATAATTTGTCAGTTAATAATTTAGAAAAATAATTCTCTTAAAAATCATCAGTGATCATTTTATTAAATATGATTTTCTTTTTTGTTTTTTTTTTAAGATTTATTTATTTATTATGTATACAGTGTTCTGCCTACATGCATGCTTGCAGGCCAGAAGAGGGCACCAGACCTCATTAGGGATGGTTGTGAGGCACCATGTGGTTGCTGGGAATTGAAGTCAGGACCTCTGAGCCAGTGTTCTTAACTGCCGGGCCTTCTCTCCAGCCCGCTTTGTTTTGTTTTGTTTTTTTGATACATGGTCTCTCTGTGATAGCACTGGTTGTCCTGGAACTCATTATGTCCACAGTTGGCCTGAAATTCATAGAGATCTGCCTGTCATTGCCTCCCAAGTGCTGCCCTTATCAGTAGAAATTTATTAACATGGACATACTCAATGGAGAAACTATATAAAGACATAGGGAAAGGATGGCTATCTACAAGTCAATGTAAGAAGTCTCAGAAGAAAACTGCCCTACCATCAACTCGATCAGATTTGAGCCTCAAGAGAAATGAGGAAAAAAGGCTCTAGTTGTTGAAGATCTGGGTGCTGGGGATGTCTTTCTGTATGCTGTGAATGTGTTGCTCTGATTGATTGATTGACTGATTGATTGATAAATAAAACGCTGATTGGCCAGTAGCCAGGCAGGAAGTATAGTATAGGGGGGATAAGAGAGAGGAGAATTCTGGGAACGGGAAGGCTGAGTCAGGAGTCACCAGCCAGACACAGAGGATACAAGATATAAAAGTACTGGTAAGCCACAAGCCATGTGGCAACTTAACAGATTAATAGAAATGGGTTAACTTAAGATATAAGAACTAGATAGCAAGAAGCCTGCCATGGACATACAGTTTATAAGTAATATAAGTCTCTGTGTGTTTACTTGGGTATGACCAACTGCAGGCCCTGGAGAAAACTCCAGCTACATTTGGGCATGGTGGAACATGACTGGGATTTTAGCACTCAAGAGGCCAGGACAGGAGGATAAGCTTAAGGATAGTCTGGCTACATAGTAAGACCCTACCTCCAAACAAAACAGAACAAAAATTTAATGACTATATAGGATACTACTGCTGGTTTTCTGAAGCTCTCCATTCACTGAACAAATGTTTATAAAGCATTTTTCATCTAAGTACATTCTGCTCAAGTAGATCAGATACTTAAATTTATACAATTTATGAGGATTTTATCTCAAATTATATTGACATTACAAGTTTCCTAGAAGTTGACTGCATAAGATAGACAACTCTACATGGAGGTTATGTGACTAAATATTTATATGAAGGTTGAATACAGACTAAACTTCAGAACAGAGTTAGAAACAATCTAAATGTACAGTAGTAGAAACATAGATAATGTTCTAAGAATCCAGGTAAGATACCATATATTTACAAAGCCTATTAATTTCTGTACTAGGGCAAATGACATGACCAAAATAAGCCAAGCAATAGAAGATAATTAAATTAGCATAAACCGTAAGTAATATATTTTCTTTCTTAAAACTCCTGGTGTTCAAAAAAAACTTTCAATTATATTTTCAGAAAGAATTTTTTTTCTTTTGAAGAGAGGGGACAATATTACTAAGAGTTTAATAGAAAAACATCCAGGGCAAGAAAGCTGCCCACAGAAGAATGGAGGCAAGAAGTGAAGAGGAATACTGTTTGCATTACCAGCATGGAGGTCTCCACCTAAGGGAATCAGGCAGACACATGTTGGAGAAGGAGTTTTAAAGAAAGAATAAGGAAGCCCAAGATATATAAACAAACAAACAAACAAACAAACAAACAAAAAACATCCTTAGGTTGTGACCAGCATTCAAAATGAAAAGACAGAAGGAAGGAAAAGGAAAAGCTGCAAAGGTGAACAGACTCAATGAGTCTCATGGCAATTTCATGTTTGCTTGGAGAAAATGTGTGGGAGCAGGAACTCTGGGAAGGAAAAGCACTGTATCTCATTAAAGGAGTAATAATTTGTTAAGGGGAGTCCATCTTCCTAGAGGTGATCCCTCCATCCTGAGGGGTGATACCTTGGCCCATGGATTGACCTGCCCAACTGATAGTTAGGTCTCTATCCAGATCAGAGATTCTATTCCATTAACCAGAAATTTTTCCTTAATTACTGCTACTCTCGTACTCCCCCCACTGAAGAAGTAACCGTAAAACCATCTGGACACCAGGTCAGGGATCCAAGTCCCTAAATACTTTTGTCATCTCCAGCCTACAGCAATGATGAGACTAAGAAGCCCAAGAACAGCTCTGGCTTTTACCCAAGAAACAGGTTATCTTGAGAGGGTGGGATGGGGTGCCTTTTTATCCTCAATGGCCTAGCCACTTTTCTCTCCTGCTCCTATCATTCCCTTCTCTGAAAAGTTGACACCAACTGCCACTGCGGAACTGGAACAATGACTAACCTGACTTTGTGAAGGAATTTAAAAAAAAAAATCAGGGTTGGGGATTTAGCTCAGTGGTAGAGCGCTTGCCTAGCAAGCTCAAGGTTCTGGGTTCGGTCCTCAGCTCCGGGGGGGGGGGGGGGGGTGTCAACTTATTATTTTAAGTACTTACATTTTAAACTCTTAATCTAGTAAACCAATGTTTAGGAGTGTTTTGGTTTTGCCAATGCTGTAGATTGAGCCAGGGGCCCTGCACATGCTAAGCAGCTTTTCCACTAAGAGACATCGTCAGCCCCAACTTTGAGGAATTACTGAAAAAATGGCTAAGAAACTGAGCACAAAGACCCACAAATGTCAACAGAAGTATTACTTCAGTGGATTGTTGAACACTGCCTAATAGAAGGGATAGCAATGTAAAAACCACTATGTGGCTCTGGAGCTGGAGGCAATTAAGAGTGCACACTGCTCTTACAGAGGACCTGAACACCCATATCAGGCCTCACAGCTGCCTGTAAATCCACCTCCAGGGGAATCCAATGCCACCAGCTTCCTTGGGCACCTGCACTCACATGTACATATTCTCATACAGAGACACACATACACAGAATTTAAAAAATAATTATTAAAAAAAAATCCTGAACTAGTATTCCCTTCAGCAGTACTTGTGATGTGATTTAGAGAAGATGAGCGTCCCTATGCCAAGGAAAAATATCATGAACTAGAATTCTGGTTTTTAAATCTTCAGTGAATTACTAACTTAATATTAGATTTAAAACCACAGGATCTTTCTAAAGAATTATAAATCTATGTATAAATATACACACAAAGTTTTGTACACAGCACTACTGTAGTTTAAACTGCTTTAAAGATCCCAATGCCAAGAAATTTCAATCACAGAACTATGGTACTTATAGTATACTGTTAATTTTTTTTAAGAGAAGTAGATGATTAGTTCAGTTGTAAAGTATGTCTAAAACAAGAAAAAGGGAACAAATTATTGAGTGGTTATCTTCAGTTAGAATTGTAATTTCCATATTCTGTGATTTTTTTCTTTCCTTTTTTTTTTTTTTTAACTTTTATTGATTCTTTGTGAATTTCACATCAGGCATCCAGATCCAATTCACGTCCCTGTCCATTCATATCTAACCTCTACTCTGGCAACCTCCACACTAAAAGAAAAGAAAAGAAAATCTCACCACAGAAGCTGTAGTGTAACACAGTATACCCTTTAGTCTATACATCTTTACTTGCAAGTGTTCATTGCAATGAATCACTGGTCTGGTTCTAGGCCTCTGGCTTCGGCTACACTATCAATACTGGGCCCCTACTTGGGACCCTTTTGAACATACTGTTGTTGACGTGTCATGGAGATCCTGCAGCTTTGGATACGCAGGGCTGGCCCCTTCATGTGCTCCAGCAGTTCATAGATGGGGTGGATGTTGGGGTGGCCAACTCTTAGCCCTGGTTCTGGGCCTGGGTGGTAGCTGGGTTGGTCAGCTTTCCCCATCCTCATCACCAGGGCAAGCTCTCCAGCACTGCCCCAGCTAGTTCACCCTTTGTGGCAAGGAGCAAGGGGCAGGGCCAGTTCTCCTGCTCTCTGGCTCTAGGGGTGGCTCACCTGCACTCACACCACTAAGGCCAGCTCTGTGTTGCCCAGGTGCTCCTCTCTGATTTTTCATTTCTCCATACTTTTCAGAATGAACTGGTAATCATTGAAAAATTATAACACTAGAATATTTAATCTAAATAAAGTTGTTGTTGTCAAGGAAAATAAGAATATGTTCAAGGTCCTGGGACACAGTGAGGAGGCAAAGTCCCTGCCTAGTATGTACAAGGACCTGGGTTTGATCCCCAACAGTCAGAAGGGAGGGAGAGGACATGCTATTTATCTATTCATCCTAGGCTAACCTGAACTTCATAATTCTTCTGCCTCAGTCTACTGACACTTGGAATTACAGGCATATACCACCATGCTTGAATTAGGTCTTAAAGTACACAGGTAAATAATAAATGAGTGGTGGTAAGTGGTATCAGAGAACTACTAGATGATCTCCAGTGTGAAGAAAGGATGGGAAAATACTGCCCACTGTACATTACGACACAGTTCTGAAAGCAACCACTGGCAATTGTAAGGTCTTTATAAACAAAGCACTACACTTCATTTCTGGACTTTAGAAGACTATGTTTAAAGTCTCTGAAGTAATGTATAAAGAAACAAAGGTCAGAAAGCCACTTACATTTCCTGTTGTGTGTTAACAGCACTTGTTTCAAGTCCACTGTTGCTCTTCCTAACAGAGCATCTGCTTTTAAAGTGTGGTGACTCCAAACTCGAAACTCCAAGGTGGTCTGTGGGGTCACATTTCTGCATGAATAACATTATAACAAAAATGAACACGGCATCACTGTGAGTGCTAATTCTTTTATCTATTTCAATGATTTTTTCCAAAACCATGAATTCAGTTTAATACTGTATGAAATAGTAAACGGATTGGATCAGAAATGAAAATAACAAGTATTTACAAATACATTATTACTTTAAAAACTGTATCAGGATTTTTGTAAACAACCGGCACAGCACTGATTATCTTACTGAGACCTCAGAAAAACTTCTGTGGAAACACATTTCTACAGCTGTTTAGAATGGTTGTCATTAGTTATAAAGCCTTTATTACATGTAAATTTATATCGCTTTACTTCACAATGCCAAAATTAAGAATGACTGACTTTATTTCTGTATCAAACATTCAGAAAGAATACGGCCATGTGGAAATAACTGTCTATAAAACAAAAACACAATTATTGTGCTTCCTCTTTGAGAAAAGTGAAATTAAAAATTTCTTTGTATGTTAAATTCTTAGATAAAGAAAAAACTTTATTACTTGAAGTCATTCTACAAAATAAAAAACATAGCATATGTGACTTGAAGATTTTGTATCCTTTACATAAGATACTCACACAGTCAGCTGCTCATCCCATTTTGGATTAGAAGAACTACTGGATTTTGCTGTTTTCTTAATCTCTCCATCCACAATGACTTCAGTATATATTGCTGTTCCAAACCAGTTTTTTTTTCTTTTTAGTTTGGCACTAGAAACTAACAGAAAACAATAATTAGTTGTCAGTATGTACAACCAAAAAAATCTGTGCTGCCAACTAGTAAACCAATAAAAACAGAAGTGTTCTTCCACCTCTAATATATGTCTCACTGGTAAAAGGAGAAGCTACTAATGTCCGAAAGCCATCTCATTTTCTCAATAACCAATTTATTGAGATAACTCATCCATTTGAATAGGATAGTTCATTCGTTTTAGATTCAAACTTGTACAAACATCCAGATTAATTTGAAAACATTTTTGTTAATTCTCCAAAATAGCAAATGATCATTAAGGAGGAATTTTCCTATCTTCTGCCAACATCCGCCAATCTGTCTCTATAGACTGTCTGTCCTGAAAATTCTATATAGTGGGATCATATACATGATTTCATGACTTCCTTCTTTCACTTAACATATTTTCAGGTTCCACCAATGCTGTAGCATACATCAATACTTCATTCCTTTTTCTGCCAAATACTATTCCATGATTGATATACCACAGTTTATTTATGTATTAGTTGACAGGCATTCCAAACACAGAACTGTGCACTTTCAGGGCATAATACTAACTACCAACCAGTGAAAACAGCACATTATGATCACCTCTATAACCAATTCACTGCAACTATCCTGGGTCTGAGATGACAAACGAAGAGCACCCATGTTACACTCAGGAATCATTAAGAAAGAAAACAATATAAGCTTCCATTCTACTGAGAGAATTAGTCAAATAAACCAATGAAATACGAAGTGAACGTAATGTGACAGAGATAAAGTGTTTGAAATAGTTACCCTTCTGTTAATACGTAAAGAATAACAAAAAAGATTATAAACAACTGTTTATTAAAATACTGGCAACAGAGTGCAAACACTGTTTAACATAATGTCTGAAGTGCTACTGGGAGGGTGTTAGTTTTAAAACTCATTCCCAGCCTCTGATGTTGCAAGTTGCTCTAAGTTTACCACCAAGGGACGGATATAAGGGGCCAGACTTGTTACCTCTCAAGAAACTCTCCAAATAGAAGGTTTCATTCCAAATAGAAGTTATTTCTTTGATACGTACAGGTCCTATCTATCCACACATTGAAAGTAAAGAGAAGGCAATACAGGATCAGGCTAAAAGCGTACAAGTGTAATATATCTGGGTTCATGTTTTAACTGCCATTACTAGAATCCTGACCTGAAGGAGGTCAATTAACGGCTCTGCCCCTCCATTTTCTCACCTGAAAAACAGGGGAACAATAATACCCAATTCTTAGGATTGGTGAGTGAAGGCATGCAAAAGCACTATCATCATCAACAAATTCCCCACATCCAGTATGGTGACTGTATCTATGCTATTACTAATGAGTTAACTGCAGACCCACTCAAAATATACCTGTACCTATGCTATTACTAATGAGTTAACTGCAGACCCACTCAAAATATACCCACTGTGTTTCTTATTTGGCAAAGTGCTTGACAGTACTAAAAGCTGCTAAGGTAACAGATCTTCCTTCTCCCTTCAACAGATTTTTTAAAATATCCCTTTTAACTCAAAAAAATTTGTAACATGGTGGCTCAATAGTATATATAAAATTAATGGTATGTTTTTAAATAAAGTGAATGCTACTATTTTAAACAGGAGTTCTAATTACTGGAAACAGGATAAATTACATTTTCCCATTTACTGGTTTACCTTTGGTGTTATACTCAAAATACCCTTCACAGTAATACTTTATAAATATTGAAAATTAGCAGACTTTGGATGAGGTTCCTTAATTTAAAAAGGTCCAGTAACAGTAATGTTCCTAAAAACATGTAGTAACAAATGTATATGGTCCACATGAAATTTACCATAAAACTTGAATGATGACATCAAAGAGAAAGAAAATGATTTGATATATTCTTAGATCTGGAAATTTTAAGATAAAAGCTTTAAATCATCTCCAATTTAATATATCATTTTACAACAATAACACCAAATTACTGGGTTTGAGTGTTCAGGGTAGACACAGAGAGAAATGGGGAGCTTAAACTCAAATAAAGAGCCAAAGTAAATAGCCAGTAGAGATAAATATGCATAAGATATGAGCTAATTAAAGAATTCTCCAAATTTATGTACTATAAAATGAAAGTAACTAGACAGTCTAATAGTGATGTAAGAAATAGTATAGAACAAGTAAGGTGGTAACACTTGAAATCAACAAGAAAAAATGGTTAGGTCATAAATAATTAAATGCTTGAGAAAAATCACCTATAGCACACATCACAAATACTAAAGGTGCTCACACTTTAAGTGAAATTAAGGGCCAGTGGGGTGGCTCTGTGAGTAAAGGCACTTGCCACCAAGCCTAATGAATTGAGTTCCATCCCTGGAACCCAAATAGGAGAGAGATTCTCATAAGTTTTTTGCTAATCTATACATGTACCATGGCTCATGTATGTGCACATACATAAATAAATGTAAAAAATCAATATATTTTTAAAGTGTAATTGAGGTACCATAAGACACAATCCAAAAATTACATCTATATGCTACTATAACAATCTATTACTTTTTAAGTCAAGAACTATATATACCTTGCAAGCTTTGCATCTGATCCTTTCATGTTGAAAATCTTAAAATCTACAATACTGAAAATTACTTATCTCTGCATGCTATTATAGTTATGTTCATGGTATAGTAAATTATCACATTACAGTGGGTTACCTTCTGTTTGACTTTTAGATCATGGTTTTCCTGTTTCTAGGATATTTATTGGTTGACTGAGCGGTTAGTTTTTTAGAAGCTGAAATGAAACTCAAAGCCTTACATACACCACTACAACCACAGCACACTGTTCTTGTATGTTTGTTCCCTTCAATCAGCGATAGTTTAATGGCAGAAATAAAAAAGAGACATGGGCACAGAGGCACACACATGTAATTCCAGTGCTTAAGGCCTAAAGGAGGATCATGAAGCTACCCTGAGTCCTACAGAGAGATTATGTCTCAAAACAAAAAGGGAAAGGAAAACAAATACGCTGGATGTGGTTATTAGTACATGCTTGTAGTCCCAGTTCTTGTGAAACTGAGGCAGGAGGAACACAAAGTCAACACTAGCTTTGGCTACATAGTTCTAGGGCAATGTAAGCTACATAGTAAGACCTTGACTCAACAAAACCTAAACTAAACTAGTTCTCTCTGCTTTGTACTTGCATTGAAGACAGACCTCTCAGCCTCCTGTTCCTGATGCCATGCCTGCCACTTGCTGCCATGCTTTCCTCACTAGAAAGGATTCTTTCCTCTTATTAACCATAAGCCCAAATAAAGTGTTTCTTCTGTAAGTTGCCTTGGCCATGGTGTTTGATCACAATAGAAAAGTGATAGAGAAGTTGATACAAGAGAGTCAACTGCTGTGTGAAGAACCTAACCAAGTGATTTTTTGGAGGAATGTGAAAAAGTTGAAGACTGTAAGCAGAGTTAATGAGCCATCCTACCAAGAGCTCAGAAGACAGTGGTGCTGAGAACAAGTATGTCATGGAAAATCAGCTCAAAAGGTATTTCTGAGGGGAACAACGTTAGCAATTGGACTTATGGCCATTTGTGTCAAATTTTGGCAAAGAACCTAGCCACTTTTTACCCTTGTCCTAAGAACTTGCCTGAGGCAAAAATTAAAAAGTAACTGACTAATCTCTTTAGTGGAGGCAATTTCAATGCAACATAATAATGAATTTGTGATGTGTTTATTATTAAAAATGTTTATTTGGGTATACAATGAAAAAAAGAAAACTGGGCAGAAATAAATGCAAAATGTACAGTTTGGAGAAGAAAAGAAGATCAGATCTAAAGAGGCAGCCAACGTTGGAGTTGAAAGAGATAGGGAAATTAACATCATTAAGAAGAAGCCTCCTGCTTAGCACTAGATAAAGGGAAGGGTAACCTCAGGGCAAGACCCTCCCACAACTAAGCTTCCAACTTATGAATGAATATAGGGTATTGCCTGCCCCTAAAAATCAACAGAATAAAAGCTCTGCTGCTAATGTGACATCCATCTCAGGCTGGCAGTCCGATTATTCACAAGCTGCTTTGGATGAATGAACATGCAAGAGTAAAGGGGTTTACAGATAGACAACTACCACACTTCAATAATAGAGGGAACATTGCATGATGGTGCCCGATTGTTTGAAATAAAAGGGCTAATGGAGTAAGCTGGACTGAGGATGTAGTTCAGTGGCAGAATGCTTGCCTATCACCCACAAGGCCCTGGCTTCAATCTCCAGGACCGAAAAAGGGGGAAAAAGAAAAAAAAGAACATTGTTTGTGATAAAAGGAACAAAAAACTAGAGTCTTAAGACTGCAACTGGCATCCTCATTACTAAGAGAAGGCAGTGGTTTCTCTGGACTTCAGTCTCCTTGTTTATAGTCAGAAGTAGTAGTTTTTATTACTCAAGCTGTTGTGAAATCAAGAGCATGGATTTTACAAAGTTATTTTTACTTTAAAAAGCAGAAATGAACAAAATGATAAAGTCAAGCCAAGGCAAAAAAAAAAAAAAAAATAGAACATGAAGGCAAGACACTAAAACCCAGTGCCGCCTAGCATCAGTCCAACTTCATTGTGTATGTCTCAAAAGCATCACTTATGGAATATATTTGCCTAATTAGGTATGCAAAATCCAATTTCATCTACCCATCATAATACTACATTATTACTAAAATCACTTACCAGTTACCTTTAACTGTAACCTTCCACTGTGGTCATCACTAGTATCAGACCTCGGTGAAGCAGTGGCCATGTCCCAAAATTCACCTTAACTCTATTAAAAAAAAAATAATAATTTGTTCGGGTGTCAGAGATTTCAATTTTCAAGATGATTAAAACCATTTAATCAATGAAAATTCATACCTATCACAAGTTCTCAGATACCTTTCATTTAAAATTAAGACAGTATACAAACCTTATTTATATAAGAGTGGGGCCATTTAACCATATCTGAGTCAATTTGAGCAACAAAGTAAATGATAATACTAAGAATCCAGGATCATATGTTGATTTAAAATGAATATATACATGAATATGAAAACATATATTTATATGCATTATTGAAATCTCCTGAGTATATTCCACTTTTATTCTTAAATACTTCAGTGTGTATTTCTTAAGAATAAAAACATCCTCCTAAATAATCACAGTACAATAATTAAACTAAAGAAAACTTAAACTGTACACTTAACCAAGAATTTAAATTTGCTAAAAAAAAAAAAAAAAAATTAAACAAAAAGCAGAGCTAACTACAGCTTTCTTCTACAGACCAAATATCTCAAGGCTCAACTTCTATCCACCTTTAACCTACTAAAGATTTAAGTGGGCTATCCTGGGAAATATTGAAAAATACTAATGAATATTAATATTTATCTTGCTTTTCCCTTAATTTGACATTTTTTCTGTGCTCCATTTAGATCCTTTCCCTAAATTCAGAGACCAATATTCTAAAATCATTACACTTTCTTTACTTGCTTAGATTTGCATAGATTATGTTTTGATATATAGACACATGCGTATGCAGATACACACACAAAAAGATGGGAGTTCCTTAATCTATGATCAAGACCTCTTTCAGGTCAATATACTTATTCTACAGAAGAGAAAACAGGTTTACAACTGATATCTACTTAAGAGCAATCAGTTGTCATGTTCATGTAAGAAAACCAAACAAGTCAGCCCTAAAAACTTAGATACAAGTAACATTATATGGACTGAACAAATGGTATTTAGAAATATATAGTATATAGCTATACAATTTTGCATAAAAAAACAAATTAATGAAAGGCAAGACCATGAATTTGAAAAAAAGCGAAGAGGCACATATGGGGTTTGGGGAATCAAGAGGAAAGAGAAGGTAGAAATATATTAATCTCAAAAATAAAAAATAGAATGAATTTTAAAAAAGAAATCAATTGAAATGAAACACTTATATTATCAACTAAGGAAATAAAGTCAATGGAAATTGAAGGCTTTTTCCAATTTTTAGCAGTCTGGTCTACTAGATAATAATGAAAGACCTTCCTTCCTGCTTTAACATAAACACTTCCGGCATAACTCAAAACCAACTGTCTTATTTTCCAAGTTCTGTTATGTTCTTAAGTGTGGAAGTTATCAAGCCTATACCTCACATATAATGGCAGCCTTAAAAAAGAGAGAGAGATGAAACGAAAGTAAGAAACAGAACATTCAAGGCTAACAATCTTAGTTCAATCCTCATACCCCACAAGTTGTCCTCTAACTTCCATGTTTTATTCACATAAATAAATAAAATAAATTGTAAATAATATAGACAAACAAATAAACATCTTATCCTGAGTGTATATGCTGATAGTTGTAGTGCATAGTCAAGAGAAAAAACTGGACCTGCTGAAAGGTGAAAGGAACTGAGACCTCACTGTGAGGACCCAAGACAAAATTACATCAGAGCACCAACAACCCACTGACATATACCATTAGGACAACACTCAAACTTAGACATGGGATTTAATCTGGGCCTACAAGTAAGAGTCAGTGGAAATTCAATACAATAGTTTCTGACTGTCAAGAACTTTCAAAGTTACAACCGTATACTTTTAAATTCTAGTTTTATCGATGAATGATGAAGTATGGCCAATCAAGAAAAAACTATAAAAGGTAATATACGGGCATCAGTCAGAGGAGTGGGTGAGTTACCCACCTGCCAGCTGGACAGCCTCACTTGCTGGATTCTGTTCCCCCAAGACCCATTCCACCAACCAAGCCTTCCTGCCTCATCACCCTCCCTATGACTAGCCTTTCCCCCAACTCCAGTAGACTTTATTGGCTCACATACAGTCCACACCAGTCAGAAGAATAGGTGAGTGACCTGACTCCTGCCAGGAAAGCTGTCCCACTCCCCAGATTCTGATCCCCAGGACCTATCCCAAGGCCCTCCCCCACCTACCTTATCACCAGCACCACTGCTGGGCACTGCCCCCAACTCCTGTAGAATCCCACTGTTGGGGTGTAGACCACACCAGTAGGAAGAGCTGACTTCAGAGGCTCATATATAGACCACACCAGTTGGAAGAACAGGTGCAGATCAAAGCAGTCAGACTCCCTACTAGATCAGAGGTCATGCTATCCACTAGAAATCCAGGCCACAAAAAGTGGAAGACCAAACAGAAAACAGAAATCAAGAAGACAAACTCAGGACCTAGACCTATAATCATCCTAAAACCAGGTATCTAAACACCAGTGTGAGAATACAATCAACAATAGCCAGGGCAACATGGCACCACCAGGAAATCAAAGAAAAGACAACCAAAAAATTGGAGGAAATTAATAAATCCCTTAAAAAATACCAAAAAAGGAAGCAAAGCAAAGAGATGACGGAAACTAATCAAGATCTGAAAATCAAAATAGAAGAAATAAAGAGAACACAAACTGAGGGAAATTTGAAAATGGAAAGTCTAGATAAGTGAACAGGAACTGCAGAAGCAAGCATCACCAACAGAATTCAAGAGATGGAAAAGAGAACCTCAGACACTGAAGATACAATAGAAGAAATAGATTCATCAGTGAAAGAAAATGGTAAATCTAAAGAAATCCTAACACAAAACATCCAGGAAATCTGGGACACTGAGAAAAACCAAATCTAAACAAAATAGGAATAGAAGGAGCTCAAAAAAAAAAAAAAAAAAAAAAACACCCAGATCAAAAATCCAGAGAATATATTTAACAAAATCATAGAAGAAAATATTCCTAAGCTAAAGAAGGACATGCCTACAAATGTTCAAGAAGCTTACAGAACATCAAATAGATTGGATCAGAAAAGAAAATCCCTGATCCACATAATAATCAACACTAAACATACAAAACAAAGAAAGAATGTTAAAAGCTGCTAGAGGAAAAGGCCAAGTAACATATAAAGGCAGAACTATCAGAATCACACCTGAATTCTCAATGAAGAATCTAAAAGACAGAACTGCCTGGACAGAGGCCAGCCCAGACTATTATACCCAGCAAAATTTTCAATCAACATAGATGGAGAAAACAAGATAGTTTATGACAAAGTCAAATTTAAACACTATCCACAAATTCAGCCCTACAGAAGGTACTAGAAGGAAAACTCTAATCAAGGAAAATAACTATGCCTATGAAAACACACTAGCAAATCCCAAAGGGACACACACACACACACACACACACACACACACACACACACACACACACACTACAACTACCACCACTACCAACAAAAAATAACAATTAACAATCACTGGTTGTTAAGATCTCTCAATATCAATGGACTCAATTCCCCCTCAAAAATAGACACAATCTAACAGAATGGATACAAAAACAGGATCCATCCTTCTGCTCTACATAAAAAACACACCTCAACATCAAAGACAGACATTACCTCAAAGAAAAGCGTTGGAAAAAGATTTTCCAAACAAATGGACCTAAGAAGCTAGGTATAGCTATCCTAATATCTAACAAAATAGATTTCAAACCAAAATTAATAAAAAATGGAGAAATACATTTCATACTCATCCAACGAAAAATAGTATCTCAATTCTGAACATCTATAGCCCAATGTAAGGGCACTCACATTGGTAAAAGAAACATTACTAAAGCTTAATCACATATGAAATCCCACATATTAATAGTGAGAGACTTCAACAACCCACTCTAACCAATGGACAGGTCATCCAAACAGAAACTAAACAAAGAAATAATGGAACTAACAGATGTATTGACTCAGATGGACCTAAGAGATACCTACAGAACATTTCACCCAAACACAAAAGAATATACCCTCTTTTTAGCATCTCATGGAACCTTCTCTAAAGTTGACCATATACTCAGACACAAAACAAGTCTTAACAAATACAAAAAAAAAAATTGAAATAACCCCCTGTAGCTTATCAGACCACCATCGATTAAAGCTGGATTCCAACAACAATAGAAACTATAGAAAGCCTACAAATTCATGGAAAAGGAACAACTCTCTACTGAATGCCTACTGGATCAAGGAAGAAATAGAGAACTTAAAGGCTTCCTAGAATTCAATAAAATCAAATGTACAATATACTCAAACTTATGGGACACAATGCAAGCAGTACTAAGAGGAAAGTTCATAGCATTAAGTGCCTGCATAAAGAATTTGGAGATCTCATCTAACAATGTAACAACTCACCTGAAAGCTCCAGAACAAAAAAGAAGCAAATTCAGGAGGAGTAGAAGGCAGGAAATAATCAAACCCAGGGCTGAAATCAACAAAACAGAAACAAAGAGAACAATACAAACAATCAATGAGACAAAGAGTTGATTCTTTGAGAAAATCAACAAGATAGACAAACCTTTATTTAAACAAACCAAAAGGCAGAGAAGGAATATGCAAAATAACAAAATCAGAAATGAAAAGGGGGCCATAACATTCACTGAGGAAATCCAGAGAATCATCAGGTCATACTTCAAAAACCTATGCTCCACAAAATTGGAAAATCTAAAAGAAATGGACAATTTTCTTGATAGGTACCACATACCAAAATTAAATAAAGAAAAGATAAACAATTTAAATGGACCTATTATCTCTAAGGAAATAGAAGCAGTCATTAAAAGTCTCCCAACCAAAAAAAGCCCAGGGTCAGATGGTTTCAGCACAGAATTCTACCAGAATTTCAAAAAAAAAAAAAAAAGCTAATACCAATACCCCACAAATTGTTCCACACGACAGAAACAGAAGGAACACTGCCAAATTCTTTTTATGAGACCACAATTACCCTGACACCCAAAGTACACAAACCA